AAATATGGAAGACCTTGGTTTTTTACTAAATCATGTATACAAAAGGTATTTCATAATGACGACAAAATGACTAATATCTAGAGGTTTAGTTTTTATCCGATTTGAATTAGAATCCACGAAAACGTCAACTCGTAGCTCTCTACTTTTAGAAATCAAAATAAAATTTAGATCTTTATTTTCGTTTTATATTCTATAGAAAAGTTATGGTCCCTTTACTAATTATGACTAAATATTTTATATCTTACGTTTTTCGACAGAAATCAAAATAATCTTATAAGATCTAAATGATGGAAGTTGAGAAAAATATTAATTTCTTGATATTTTTACATGTCTCGATTGAGATGAGCAAGCTCTACAAGAAAAAGGAATGTCAAAAAAACTTTTGGTCTTATTTCTAATACAAAATTTGAAAGAAACCAGACGGACCTATGAAAACCTCGCATACTGTGAACGAAATAGTATGCTTAACTTTCAATAACATTAGTCGATCGACTGATAATTGATATTTCGAAATATAATGTCACATACTGAAGTTTGAGATAATCTTATCAAATGATAGCTTTAATCTTTTTCCTACAAAACTGTGTATCTCAATCAAGTACCTATGAGTACAAAATAATCTTTTAACTTCGGTAGAATGTTAGTTTTGGAATTCAGTAATATTAATTCAACGTATATAAAAATTGTTAGTGTCCAAAAGATGTCAAAAGTACACTGGAATAGAGAGGGACTGAGTCCTCCCACGCTTACATTTTGTGATTACATCACTACCGTTAATTATTATTAAATTTATTTTTTGCAAGATAATTTCTACAAAAATAACTTTTTTTTATCAAAATTTATCTTACTATCTTATATGTTATTTAAATATGAATGTAAAAAAAGAGCAAAAATAAGATAATAAATCATGTCCTTATCAGAAAGAACATTGTGTTTTAAAATCTATTAAGTTAGTTTAAATTCTTTGAAGAATTTATTATTAATCATAATATGAACATTTTCCTTCATATTTGATCGATTCTATTCTTTGAATGAAGAGATAAAGTATTGTGTAGAGTGTACTGAATAAATAGACATAGTTCTAACAATAGAGGTCACTTTTAACATAATATCTTTGTTCTAATTCGTGCTTATTTGACACCCATCCCGTGGATAGACACAAGACATGGATTGATTTGTTTTGTTTATTTATTTATTTACTTGTTCATATCGAACTACGTCATCATTTAACTCAGGCACGTGCATAAAAAGTGAATAAAAACAAGTTTAGCTTTCTGTTTCAAACTTAACAATGCAAACAATTAAATGTGTTGTAGTAGGAGATGGTGCTGTTGGTATGATTAGTTCATTTATTAATCATTTCTTTTTCTTTTCATTTTTAAATAATAATTATAGGAAAAACATGTCTATTAATTAGTTATACGACGAATAAATTCCCAAGTGAATATGTACCAACTGTACGTTTTATTATTCATTAAAATAGAAGAAAAAAAAAATTTTCATATTCAATAGGTATTTGATAATTATGCTGTTACGGTAATGATTGGTGGTGAACCATATACATTAGGTTTATTTGATACTGCTGGTATGATTTATTAGTTTTTTTAGCAATTAAATTTGTTTAAAAATTTTTCTTTGAAAAACAAAAAAACTTAGGTCAGGAAGATTATGATCGCCTCCGTCCGTTAAGTTATCCACAAACGGATGTATTTTTAGTATGCTTCAGTGTTGTTTCACCATCATCATTTGAAAATGTTCGTGAAAAAGTACGTAAAATGTTTCATTTTGAATACATAAGTATGCCTAAGTCTCTCAGGAGAATTCTAATCATCGGTCAAGTTAATTTGCATATTCTATTTAACATCATGTCAAATGAAAAAGTTATGACCTTGACCTAATCAATCAGATTTTTCTGATTAGGAAAAAAAGCTATTTTTTTAAAATTTAAGCGATTAATTATTTATTGTTTGATAAAAATAGTGGGTACCAGAAATATCACATCATTGTGCTAAAACACCATTTTTACTTGTTGGTACTCAAATTGATCTTCGAGAAGATCCAAATACAATGGAAAAATTACAAAAATCACGTCAAAAACCAACATCATTGGAACAAGGTGAAAAATTAGCACGAGAGCTTAAAGCGGTTAAATATGTTGAATGCAGTGCATTAACACAAGTAAGACAAAAATAAAAAAATAAATTCTACAGAATACTGTTTTAAATATGTTTTTATCTTTATAGAAAGGTTTAAAAAATGTGTTTGATGAAGCAATATTAGCTGCACTTGAACCACCAAAAAAATCAAAAAAAACAACATGTGCACTTCTATAAATAATAGAAATAGAATCTAAGAGTGCTAAATAACCAAACCAAAGAGAGTGAAAGACATTCTGTTTGAATCCTCTTTTTTTTCAACTTATATAATCTTTTTTTTTTTTTTTTTTGTTATCTATTTGTGAGATTTGGTTTCTTATATTAGATGTATGTGTTTGTCTATTTCATGTTTTTTCTTTTGTCTAAGTATTATTGAGAAACGTTGTTTCTTTCGTCAAACATGAAAAAAAAAACAATTGTTCTTTTTTTTATACCTATTCTTGTTTCTATGGCTTATATTATTGAATAATCTCATATTATCTTGTGTGTTCCATCATCAACTATATATATTTATATACAATATACATGTTCGTGTCTTGTCTCTTGTTCTTCTTTCTTTTTTTTATCTGTATATCAACATACTATCTTTTACTTGGTCTTTATCAATAATATAACGATTTCAAACTTTGTATGCAACCAAACAAATTCGTTTTTTATTCAAATGAAACTACACTAGTTAAGAGAGAAATAGTTGGAACTAAAAAGAAACAGTTTTCTTTCTATATTTGATGCCACTCAAATATAGATAAGAATTAACCATTGGTGGGTGTTTGAACAATTTTATTGTTGTCATCAACAAATAAACGAACACGGTCGAGACGATAATCACGTGTAGTTGGTGAACCTTGTGGTAATATTTCAGGTTCATACCCTAAAGAATAGACAATGTTTATATTAAGACTTTGATAATCAAATAAGATACCTTCTTCTTTTATTTTCTGTTCAACTTCACTAGCATCTTGACCAACATATTGAGGCCAACTTTTTCGTTCGTCGTCAGACATTCTTATTTATTGCGATGAAAATAAAAATTTAGCAATGCTTTCTGCTATTTATACATCACCTTTATGCTGCTTATCTACTAGTCACAGATTGTGTGCGTGATGTCTGATATTTGCATATTTCTGTTTATTTATATTCATGACATTCATTTTTTCACAGTACTGGCATCCCATCGATAGCTAGCATAAAATAGGAGGATCGGCATTTTCGAAAAAAAAACCGAGGCGTATGCTTTTGGCTTGTATAATGACAACAAGGGCTCCCACAAGGATCAAAAAGTCAATAAATTAGTGCATTGACTATGATAACTGAAAAAAACTTTCAATTTTTGACATTTATTACTCTTCATCTACCTAGTAAAGCACAAGATTACTATTGGAAATAGATAAAAAGAGTAGAATCTGGTGAAAAATTATTTGACTATGATATCACTTTATGAGCAGTAAGAGTCAACATAATCAAAACGAAATCAATAAAAAATTACTGCTATTCAAGCTAGTTTTATTGGTGTATGATTGTATGTTTTATGGCCGAATGGAGACATAAAAAAGTGTATGTTATATTTCTAAGGCCAAAAAATACCTCAAATAATCAATTCAGTACGAACACTTTAAAATTTCATTCATCAATCTGTATCAAGAGTTTCTACAGTGTACATGAAAAGTTATGTATAAGCAAATAATACCAATGACAAGAATTTGGATCTTTGAGTACACTATAAATTTTCACGATTTTTGATTAAGACTGCACAATCCAAATAGAATTTTGTAATTAGATCTTTATTGCTCAGAAACCAAACATTTCTGTATAGGATCTCAATTTGTCAGCCAAATCATTTTTTTGCTTTTTCGACTTGAAACTTTCTCCAATTGAAGAGCTCTATTAGATTAACTTGAATAGAGAATTTTCCAAATTATTTTAGTCTCTGTAGTTTCAAGATATCAAGTTCTCAAAATATCCGTTTTATTTGAGAAAAAGTCTATATGGTAAGAGATTCATATCTCGGAGGTATACTGACCAAAAAAAATTCTGAATGCTTTTTATTCAAGCTGCTCTAACGAAAGTATAGATGAGCGAAAAGTGTCAAGTCAAAAATGAAAGTAGGATTTTACTGGTTTAATGAGATTCTGCGGGAAAAACAGACTCAAAGTTCGATGATTCAACAACAAAGGTTCAAATACCCTCGAAGATGAATAATTTCAGATTCGGATCCTATAAGATAGCCCAAATAATCCGATAGAATTCTGGTGTTTTTAAAATGATATCCACTATGAAGCAGATTACGATTAAAGTAAATGGCCGCATACAACGCCATAGGCAATGCTGTATTGCATTGTTTATAGTCGTCTTAATATGAAGCCATAGGAATCATCATATGTATTATTGCTGAAGCAGGTACATAAATTATCTTGAATATTTTTATAACTTACCAGTTGATGTTATATTCAAAACAAATATAAACAAAAAAAAATAATGATTCAATTATAAATAATAGCTTAGCATTAATGTTGTATATAAATCGAATGTGTATAAGAAATAATAATTTAATTGCAAAATAATACCTTACCATTGATGTTATAATTAAATGAAATGTAGATTTAAAAAGATAACTTAATTAAAAATAATGCCGTATGAATTAATGATGTATAGAAATGAAATCTAGCTAGAAAAAATAATCAAATTTTAAAATAATAACTTGCCATTTATCTTGTATTTAAATGAATCTAAATAAAATAAATAATGACTCCTTGTTTGATGAATCGAATGTGTTTTGAATAAATATTGGTAAAACCGTTTCAATTATCCTAATATATGCCGGCCCACCAACTTTATCAGAGTACAACACCAACGGACCACGAACATCTCCTGTCATACAGCCCCTTAGGTTAACATGTCCACCGCTACCTTGCACTCATGGACGAAAACTAAATGGTTCATTCGCTTCGGATTTTAGATGTTGAACAAATGTACGATTTTTATGATATCTGTAAAATGACGATGAATTGGTCGGGCATTCAATTGTTTACCATTTGAAAGCACCAGTACAGATCATAATTTCTAGCTGGTTTTCGTTCGATCTTGTTTACATAAACGTAATAAACTTCGATCATCAATTGCTGTTGATGCTTTTCAACAACCTTGACCAGATAAATTTGAGACAGGTAATTTTCGTTTTAATTATTTTGCTACACCGAAAACGCATATTTTTGAAACATCAAGTGTCTTGGCAACATGACATTGATTAAATTCAGCTTTCAATAAAGCTTTAATGATAGTTTTCTTCTCAAAAATACTTTGGTGCGATCCATGGTGACTGATTACACAGGTAGAGTACTGCTTATAAAAAAAAATCTGATGAGAAATATCTAAAACAAGTAAAATAATATCACAAGATGTCCACTTTCATTCATGTAATATTCAATCGATGGGAGATCTACTGAGGAATCAAGAAAAGTAAACATATTTCTAGTAATGTTATAATTTTGATCAGCAATATTTCGATGATTTTGTTGAAACTTTTTTTCTTATACAAACAAAAAACGAATTGTCTATTGTGTAAAAGGTTCAATATAAACAATTAATATAATATTTATTATCATCAAAAAATATAAATGTCTAAAATTTTAGTCAACGTTAGACGATCATTTGTACGTCGTGCTTTTTTAAATTTTTGTTAGAAACGAAAAATCGTTGCTATTTACAACATGTAAATGTGACTTTTTTGTCAAAACCTGTTTTAAATGAGCAAGAATATATATTATAACTTTGCTCAATAAAAGACAAAAAGACCTTATTGTTGAAGAGCAGAAAAGTCAGATTATCACGTTTATTCAATATATCTATATTGTTCATACTCACTAAATCACAACCAAAAGGAGAATAAGAGATAGAAAAAAGAGTGTTATAATAATTTTTCATCATTTGAAATTCTTTCATTAGGTGATGTGTATATCTAGGAGAAATACAATTATTAATATTAACCAGAGAGGTTTGTAGTAGTGAATTTTTATCGTATTACTACTTTAGAAGATAGTATTTAGGTTAAATTTATAACTTCCGACGTGGGTGTGGGGGTTCGGGTGTCCTGATCTATTTACCCAAATCCACGGTCATACTCCACACCCTCCTGCAAGGATTCACTGTTTTTTCCTGAGGAAACGGCTAAATCCTGAAAGAAGCGTGTAGCCACGGAATTGTAGGATCCTGTTAGGATTTCAATAATTCAATATTGGAAAAAAATATTTCTAATCACATCTTTTAGGATTTGACTAGATTTTCTGGAAGATGTTATCAAATATCTTGATAGGATCTCTGCAGGATTGGACTAAGTTTCCTTCAGGATTTTATCAATTTCTTGGCAGGATCTTTACAGGATTTTCTAAATAGAACATAAGAGAAATGAACACATAGAGTATCGATCTCTAGGCCTTCAGTTTACATACCGATCAGCTTACCCAGATGGATGTGTCATGCCATTCTATATCACTTTAACGTTCAATATCTTAATTTCTGACTCTAATGTAAACTTCTATTTGAATTCTATGTAAATACAAATTATTTCAAAAAAATTCTGACAATTCAATATCATTTTACGTATTTATTTTAATCGGTGAAATTTTACTATTTTTTTTTCAATTTCAATTCGATTTAAAAAATATATTTTGAATTTTTTTCGAACATAATGAAAAGTATAAGCAGTTTTCATCGAAAGATTTGCTGCTGACTAAAACTATCTATTTAACGAAAAAAACATTACGATGACTAAATCCAAATTAACATCCTAATTTAATGATTTTCAATTCTATTTTCTTGATAAGATTAAAAAATAACGCATTGCTGTAGTCTGAATCTCAAAACAACTTTTATATAAATTTCAAAAAGATTTAAAAAATTGTTTTCTAAGATTTTTAAGATTGGTTCTATTTGTTTATGTAAAGAACCAAATCAATATCAGGATACAAATGCCAGCAGATTATTCAATTCTTAGAATTTTGTGGTGTTTCGAACAAAAACACAATAACATCTTGAAAAATCCTTCTATTTATTTTTGTTAACATTTTGCTCAACATTGGTATTGAAATTCTGTTGTGATCTATTGACTTACAAATCTTCAAAGGATCCTGACCTAAACCTAGCTAAAAACATGAGGGAACCGTTTCATTCATCCTTGCTAGGTTCCTGACAGGATCCTGAAAATTAAATTTCCAATAGTCTCTAAACACAAACCTGGAAAGATCTTAACTGACTCCTAATATTTTCTTATCAAGATCCTGATCATACTTGTTTTTTTAAAGCATTCGAAGTCTCTGTTATTGAACAGTTCCGCTCCGGATCCCGATTGAAGTTTAGCAGGATTTGGTAATTGAGGATTCTGACGAATCTTAACAGGATCCCACAAACTCAATTGAGACAAAAATCCTAGCAAGAACTTGAACCATTCCTGTATAGAATCCTGAGTCAAACTTGACAGGATCCTTGAAATTTATGATTCTGAAAGATCCTTCTAGGTTTTCTCACGAAATGAACACGGTTGAGTTGACTAAACAGTAACCTGCAAAGATATTTCCTAAATCCTTATATTTTCTTATCAAGATCCTGATTGGGTATGAGTATGACTGCTCGTCGCTTGACCCACGAGCACCCACACCCACCACAGTTCTCTTGCTGAGATATTCAAACGACAACACAGGTATCCTAAGGTTAAAAATGGGGTTAACTACAACAGTACCCATGCATTGTATATTTCGCCATTTTTCAACAATTACACTTTCAGTCAAGAAATTTTGTGGGTATATACTATCATGGGAACTCTACATACTGACACGCTCAACAACTCTTTTCGGCGTGTTAAGCGGTGTAGAGAGATTTCATAGGTCTTATATATACCTTTACCTTGTGATCAGGCTTTCTATCTCTTATGAGCGACTTATGAACTCCCACTTTGGAACTAAGTACTACTGTCCTATAGCTATTAGCAGCAACTTTTAAAACTTTGAGAGTTTGATTTTAACCAGAACAAGTACCTCTTCTAGTATATATACGTGTATATGAGCCATTTCGAGTAAGTCACGAATGACTCCCACAGAAGCTGCACCATCGATGGTTGCCAATTTGGTTAGTTTTTACATGTATTTCACTGTAGCTCATTTTTAGCCAAAAGCAAGATGTTTCTGATTGTAAGAATGAGTGCTTTAACGCTGGTTTCTTATGCTTTATTCAAAGAACTAATTGGTTTTTAATGAGCATTGCTACTTCTTTAGAAAGAGCGTGACGGAGTCACCATCGGAGCCATATATATGTAAAACTTGAAGCTTGAATTCAAGTGAGTTTTCAACTTTCAAGCCACGAAAGAGCTCACACCACATCTCTCTCAATGTGGGTGCCACGGAAGGACTCACACTACGTCTATCTTGATAGTTGCAAGTTGAAAACTCACTTAAAACTTGAAACTCAATTGAATTCAAGTTTCAAGTTTGACACTACTGGATGTTTTAGTCCGAAAATATGTTGAGACTATCTATGTAATTGGTATCAATTTCATTGATAGAAACAAGGATTTATAAAGCTATGATGATAAAAGTTCTGCAATTCGTATAAGAAATATAACAAGAATGATTTTTTTTGCTTTATTGAGAACTTTAATGAGGTTCTGAATGTTTACAAAATCAATCACAAAACAAAACAATATAATAAATGTTTAAATAGTTTATAAAAATTCAAATACAATCATCTTTTTATTCAACTTTGATTATGAATTTCGAGCAATAACAAATTCGATTTGCCCATCTATCATCTGATAAAAACAAAAAAATACTTTATTTCAATTAAAAAAAGCAAAACTTAAGGGAAGTTTCTTAGTAATAACAACATTACTATTATCTTTATTTGTTAAATTGTTTAACGAAGCAAATGGTTTTTTGAGAATTGCTTCAATTTCATTTTGTTGTTTCGTTACAACGCGAGCAATTTCACTTGTTTCAGATTCTACTGAATAATAAACTATGATATCATCAGTTGGATTTAATTTAGCCTAATAAAACAAAAATAATTATTATTTGCATAAATATTGCATAAACCTCGCTTCGACGTTTTTCAACTCGACTTGCAATTTCATGAATAAGACCTTCATCTTTCATCGATGCATCAGCTGTAAAATCAAGTAAAACAACGAACTATTTATGAAAAAAGATTAGAAAAATTTCTAACAGGAAAAATAACGTCATACGCCTTGCTCACGAGGGAACATTCCCAACTGTCACACTGCTTTTGAGTCGAGCGTATGCGCATCATGCAGGCTCTAATGATCTATAAATACTCTGAAAATAGTTCGTGCTGCTAGCTTATTACTGCCGAGATATTGCATTTTTACTGTAT